TTCTTGGGCTGTCAAAACGGCGACTCAGCTTGAGAAGCCGCGATACGTTATCTTTGCTCTGCAGATCGGCCGAAAGAATGTCATGTCACAAGATATCAGCGTGTTAGACGATTGTAATTTGAGTAATGTGAAAGTATATCTTAATTCAGATTTTTATCCGTATGGTGATTTAAATCTGGATTTTGGCAAAAAGAGGTACGCTGTCCTGTTTGACATGTATGCGCGTTTTCATAAAGCATATTATGGAATCGATAGCTTCGAGACGCTGCTCAACGTACTATCGTTTATCGAGAAAGGACCTTTTGCGGTTATTGACTGCTCGCGACAAAACAAATCCGTCAAGAGCGCCACTGTGGACATACGCATAGAATTTGACTGCAAGGAGAATGTGCCCGCCAATACTACCGCCTATTGTCTCGTCATACACGATCGTGTAATCGAATACTGTCCGTTGTCTAACGTAGTGCGCAAAATCATGTAAATTGCAACGTCAGCAAGTATCCCGAATATAAAAGAATGGAAAACCAGGGTGAGGTGCAGTCTCGAAAAATTGCTCGTCATGGTCATACCAACGTTTGTGGATCTACAAGGATTTATCGTTAACAAGAAATTTATCGTGAAAGAAGTTGCAGTGCTGAGAGGGGGAACATTCTCATACATTATATTTTTTCACATCCTATGCCATGGCATTTTCTGACGAGATTCGACATATCTTGCGCTTCCTGGTTGAGTATTTATCACCATGGATTGCGGTAGGGTGACGGGATGGTCCCTTACAGCATGGTGAGACGTTTAATTACGGAAGCTGTGTTAGAAGAGGATGAAGCTGTCGTATATGTCAAGGGACACGAAAAACGAGGATGGCTAGCTGATATGCTCGACACTGATGATATCATCGTCGAAACTCTGGATGCGCATTATAAAGATGTAGAATCGCTACGTAATCTAGATGATTGTAATACTATACGATGCGGAAAACACGCAAAGAATTGCGCTTTACAAAATGTATTTAAGATATTTAACTGGTGGTCGCGACACCAAGAAGAATTGTAAGATTTTTAAATAAAATCTATATTATCTTACATTAATATGTTTATTTCTATTACTCTTATACCTGTAGACATTTAAATAAATATAACAGATAGATGTTGAAATGAACTGATAGCAGTTCGATATCACTCTGGTAGCTGTTTATAGTAGACCGATAGTTGTTTGAAAGCTGGTTATAGCTGTTAAATATCAGTCCGATAGCTGTTTACAGCGTACCGATGGCTATTTATAGTTGTTTTGTTAGCAGTTCGATATCGATTCGATATCGGTTCGATAGCAGTTCGACAGTCGTTCGATAGCCGTTCGATAGTGATTTGATAGAGGTTTGATAGCTGTTTATATCTGTTAAATATCAGTCTAATAGCTGCTTGATGGCGGTTTGGTATAAGTCTAATGGCGCTTCAATGCGAAGAACGGATAAAAGAAATGCTGAGGTAGTGTAATCTTTCGAGCGCGAGATATACCTTTGGCCGAGGCATTGTACTTTCGTCGCTGATATAAAACGTTGGTGATGTATGACAGATAAATGCTGAAGTTTCTTCATGGAATCTTTTGCACGCGTAATATAGTTTTTCAACGCGTGATATACTTTTGCTTGAAACATTACACTTTTTGACTGAGACATTGCACTCTTGCAT